CAGATGCCCAGTATCTCCGTGAGGTTTGCTCAGTACTAAAGAAACTGGGCATTGTGTGAGACTCCCTGCCTGAGCATCCGCAGCCCGTGCCTTCGCCTCACCTTCCTTTGCAGCTGACGAAACTGCACCTTAACACAGACAGCTCAGGAAAAGCAGGTGTTTGTCCAGGGAGAGCCCCTGTGCCCAGAGGCACCCAGAAATCTGCACGTTCATGACAGCAGCACCTCCGTTCCTGCTGCCGGCAAGCCTCAGCATCGGAGCTTCCCCGCCAGTCCAGCCGCTCCTGGATGCGTGTCCCCCCGGCCAGTTACGCAGCTTGTTTCACAGCCAGCTCCAGGCCGAGCCCCGGCTTTCGCCAGCATAACCCAGTCCCGGGCAGGAGCCCGCCTGTGGTCCAGCCCCATCTTCTGGAAATCTCTTCCGCCTCCGGCCACTACAGGCAAGTTCCAGCTCAGCCGCCACCAGAGCCTGTGCCAGAGCTGAGCTGTCACTGATTTCAGCTGTTCACTCAGACGTTTCAGTCCTCAAGCAGACAGCCCCGAGCTACAGCCCCTCCCCAGCACCTGCTCTGGGGCTGTGCAGGCACCAGATGCTCTTGGAGAGCATTCACAGCGTTCAGCTGCCTCCCATGAGAATATACAGGCATGGACAGTCTCCAAGTGGAGAAACACAAATAAACAAGATTTATTCCCACATATTGAGTAGTGGTTGTTCACGCCTTGTCTTACCCTCACCCCAAGCACCCATTTCAATCTCAACAGGCTACAGAGACACCGAGTAAAGTGCAGGGGCCAGCTAAGGGCTTTGCAAACACCAATCACTGTAGCTGCCCTCCAGAACAGGGCAGCAGATGATCAATGCAACACTCAAGTGAACAATTAACAGTTATCCTTGACAGCAGAGGCACCTTCTCACCCTGGGAGTTAGAATTTAAAAACTGAAGGTGCCCACCCACTGACTGCCTAGAGAAGAAACAGAAATGCCACAGAGGCTGAGCTGGGGGCAGAGGGTTCATGCCAACAGAAAATTGAGCAGCATACCACTAAGGGTTTTGTTATGCTTTTAATTAACACTTGAAACACATAAGGCATATGGTAACATTAGACAGAGGAGCATTACACATTATAGTCATGTAAACAGCATTGGCACAATTGCTTTCTGTCCAACTTGGTTACACGCACAAAGCGGAATATATTTTTTAAACAAAGATTTTCCATGTGTCTGTAGGATGAATATCACTCATATCACGTATCTGCAAATCAACACGACTCAGACAGTACAGACCAGACCATATGTTGTAAGAGGCTCAGAGTCTAATGCATTTCTCATGTACTCCTTGCCAGTTGCACTTTGCCATCACCAGGGCTTAGCACACCAGGGACTTCATTAGGCAACAAGAGTGGTTCTGCACCTATGATAGCAGCTGTAAGAGGGCCAGGATCCTGCACCAATTAAAGCCTGAGGCCCACAATGCTTCTTACTTCTCCCTGGTCAATCAATTCTAGTTAAACACAGGTGTCTGAAATGAAACGTACAGTTAAGTACTTGGCAGGGGTCATGCTCCCCTGCACAAGCCCAGGCTGCTTCCACCTCCTTCCCCTTCTGCAGTCAGCGTGCACACGCCTGAGCGTGAGAGAAACCAGAGACAAAAAACATGACAAAAGCTGCCTGGTGATAGCAAAGGAGCTGCGTGTTGTCCAAGACCAGCAGCACCAGTATGGGAGGGCGACTGCAGCAATGACACAGGAGCGGCACGGGCACCCCTGTGCTGAGCAGCCCCCCACGGCACACCCCACAGCCAGCAGGGCTGGGAACACCTCTTGTCTGCTCATCGACTCCTTACTCATGCTTCCCTCTTGGACTGCTCACAGCACAACCTTTGGGTCAGACAATCAGTAAAATAAACACTAAATTGCACGTCTGATAGCTGGAATGGCACACGCAATTTGAGCACAGCAATCTCCCACTTCCTCCGTGGCACGACTTTGCCCTGAACAGTTAAGCAAGATTAAGTGGAATGATTTTTATCTGAGGGTTTTTGTTTGTGTTCTTGCTTTGGTCCTTAGTATACAAACCTGCTTTTTGAGTTAAGACACTTGAAGCTGGTTTACATAGGTTCTGTACTTACTGGCCCATAAAATGTTTGTCCTTAAAAAAAAAAGAAGTAAAAAAAACATAACCAAAAAACAACCAACCCCCTAGAGCAGAGCACTGACCAGTGAGGCAGTGAAGAGCAAGGTTACATTTCATCTTGGTCCTTCTGTAAAAAACACTGTTGCTATCAAGGGACATAAACCAGTGCTGACCTCCAACAGACAGTAACCGCTCCGCACTCTGCCCTGAGGGCTTTGGACGTTTGTGGTAAGAGACATCACATCTACCCAAAGAGAGCCAGGAGCCGGGACTGCTTCCCGAGAGCCAAGGCTGGGGCAGCAGATACAGCCTCACTCAAGGACTGGCCAGAGCCAAACAGCTGCCCTCGGGGAGACGAGGGCTCTGCAATAGCTCTTCCGGACTGGGGAGCACAGATCAACACTGGAAAGGCTGTAATACATGGAGAGGAGCATCTTATTCATGCTAAGTCAGACTACATCACCAGCGTTCACAAAACAGAGCTAGAAAGAGTCATAACAGGTTTTTGGCAATACTTGCAAGGCCAGAATGGAAAAGGCTCCAGTGACCTCCCAGTCCTTACAGGCATGTAGAAGAAGGCACTGAGATAGTTTTCTGTGGCAAACCGCAAGGCAGCGTGTCGGAGGTGTCCTGCGGGACTCGTGCGTCCCGCTTTCGCACCGCCCTGGGAGGGACCGGCTGCGGGAGCCGCGCTCCGCTGCCCAACCCACGGCCACCCGAGTAAGGCACGGAGCGTGACCTTGGCCGAGAGTAACGCAAGGACAGGGTGTTACTGTCAAACAGTCGGACAGTTTTCCCCTTAACAAGTGTGCAGAACCTGAAGACGCGCAGAGCTGTTTGCTGTCTGAGCATGCTGCTCTTTCATCAAGGTGAAGTCCAGCTTCTCGGAGGAACAGGTCCAGACTTCCCATTTCAGCAATTTAGACAGTCCTTCTGTTGTCAGACCTAGTAAAGCAGCATTAGACACTGTTGGATTTAACCTAAATCAGCATGACAGGGCAGGTTGAGAGGAGCAGCAGCAAGATTTTTGATTCAGAAAGTTAAAAGTTGTGCTTGTGAGTTTCATCAGACCATGTTTATGAAGTTCACGTATCAAGTGCAAGAGGTGGACTGACAAGGACCTGTGGCAGGGCTCCAGCCCTCCTCTGACCTTGTAGGGAACGGAGTTTGTTTTAATTCTCTGCCTACGCATTTCTAAAGAACCAGGGCTGAGCCCAACCACCTGCCACACAAGCTGCACTGAGAGACACGAGCCTCACTGGAGGACTGAGCTGGGCAAGGAGGAAGCCACACTCCTCACTGGCACGTGAACCCCCAGCCCCGCGCAGTGCCTGGCTGCTCTCAAGCGGTGGAGGGGCTTCGCGTACGGGGCCCTTCACCCAGCGGGCACCTTCCCTCTGTCAGGTCTGGTTAAGCAGCACTCCTAGGAGCAATCTTTTGCTCCTGGAGCCTGAGCCTCTCCACGATGTGCAGCTCTTCCTGGTGCCCTCAGGTTTACCGTCTCAAATCCAAACCGAAGCCTAAAAGCCCGGAGCACCGACAGCCCATGGCGAAGCCTCGAGGCAAGAACAAACAGCACCAGTCTCCGAGGGCTGACAACGGGGTCCGGCAGGAAGGGGGGGGCACCACCCAGGACATTACGTGCTCACAGAACTAGGCTCGGGTCTCTGCACAGCTACATTTCCAGATGCACAGAAGAAAGAAAAGAGGAAGAGAGAATGAGTTCTGGTCTGGGAGGAGCAGCCCAGGCCATTCTTAAACCCCCAGCACTGGACGAGAGCCCAAGGGCCCTCGAGACTTGCAGTTTCAGGGGAAGAAGAGTCAAACCCTCCTGTAGCACTGAACCACGAGGTAAGAGCTGGTTTGAGTGGACATCAAACGAGCTGGCTAGAAGAGCATGGAAAGCACGATTTAAACTGCTCAAGATGCCCAGGCCAAGAGGCTTGGCAGAGCGGGGCATTTTACACCTACACTGGTAACTTGGCAACAGCTTTACGGAGAGGCGCGCCGCAGAAGGAGCCAGCCAGGCTCCGGGGAAGCAGGCTTACAGCACTGGTGCTTGCGAGTTACTTCCCAAACTGCAACACCCCAGCGCACAGGGCACAGCACAAAGCAAGCATTAGCAAGGGCTTGTTTGGTTCTCATCTTGCTGAAGTCCGATTCAACACTGCAGCCCTTGGAAATAAAAACACAAGGGTGAAGTTTAGCCTTAATATCCAACTTGGAGCCCAAGATTAATAAAGCACAGAGCCAACATCAATTGTTCCAGTCATCTGAGACACAGTTGAGTCCTTATGGTCTCTTAAAAATCAGACACAGTTCAGAACTCCCTGTACAGTTTGGAATCAGGAAGTGGACAAGATCAAGTTACCTAATTGAAACTTTTCTTCTGTATTCAGACAGACTAGCCCAGGCTGTCAGGTTATTTGCCAATTGTCCAGAGAAGTGACTGCCAAATAAGTGTGATAAAGACTCCGAAATGCCAGGACAGTTATTGCCAAGGCAAAGACCTGTTGCTGTCTGACTGGTGCTGGAGGCCTATGAAAGCCGAGGGGAA